ATTGATTTGCATAACACGTATTCAAGATGAAGTTGTGTAGTGACCACCACCAAAAGCCAAACAGCCATGTGCCCTTCACTCATTTTGTGTTTAAGTTTAACCCCATTGAGCCGTGTTAGCCCATGTTCTTTGTTAACCCACATCATCTTCACCTAGCCTAGATTAGGACCATCCGTACCCTTGTTCTTGAAGCATAGTAAGCATGAATGAATTCCCTTTGATTAATGTGTTGCAGAAAATAAGTGTGGGGGAAGGATTATTGATGTGAGTTATGTGCCATAGGCACGGCTAGAAAAAAAAAAAAAAAAAAAAAAAAAGAAAAAAGAAAAGAAGAAAGAAAAGAAAAAGAAAAGAAAAAAAAGTGAAAAAAGAGTTCAAAAAGAGTTGAAAAGTATTGTTTGTTGAAGTAAGGGCCCAAAACTATGAATTAGGCCCTAAGAGTTGTTTGAATCTCCCCTGTTTGTCTAAAAGTTGATTTCTGCATTCTAAGGGAACTCTAGGTCTTAATTTCATTACTTTGCTTGCTATTGCTTAAAGAACTTTTGTTTATCCCTACCTTTCCTTGTGAGCCAATACCCCAAGCCCCGTTACAACCCTTGACTTCTATCTTGAGTGTTGTGCATTTCAATTGTGGAGTTTGAATTTGGTATGAGCATATGGTGTCACTGGTTCTCGCATCTAAGTAGTAGCATTCCATTCATGAGATCATATGTAAACACGTTTAATTACTCCAGAAATTGCTTTCTTTGTTATAACGTATGTGAGTACTAGTCTTTCATGTTTACATCAATCTTCTCACATATAACTAGTGTAGGGTGTGTAGTCAGAACATCTGAGTGAAAATTGAGTGTATAACTAGTGAGGAATTGAGGGAATTCTCTAAGGCATGTTACTACATTCAAAATGTGTTTTAATTGATTAAATGCGAGCTAGTGAATGGTGACTATGAGTAAGTATGTGCTCGAGGGGAAGGAAGACTAACAACTATGTGAGTAATGATCTTTGATATGTCATGTTTCATTGGAAATCCCTGAGGCAAACGTTGGAAGGTTTAGGTTATGTTTTGTTTGTTTTGTTTCGTTTTGTTTAGTTTAGTTGTTTTGTTTTGCTCGAGGACTAGCAAAAGTTAAGTGTGGGGGAATTTGATAGGAGCATATTCATGCGACTTAATTAGCTTGTTCTCGTGCATTTATGTTGTGTTTATTTAGTTATTTTCGTGTTTAAGGCCACTTTTGTGTATTTTCAGATTATAAGGCCAAAGTGTGCAAGAAGATACAAATTGGAGCCTTTTGGAGCAAGAGAGGAATGAATGAGTTGAAGACTTGAAGAAACGATGAATTCCTACCAAAACGAGGACTTTTACTCAAACAAGGATTCCTACTTGATGTAGGAAAGTTAACCCTAGGTTTCCCGTTTTGGTAACCTTTCCTAATCTTGAACGTCCGTATTTTCTTGCTACTTTGAAGGCCTTGTAGGCACTTTAGGACACAAAACAAAGGCCCTAGTCCACTCTAACACCCTTGCCGTGCCCAAGCCCTTTCTTTCCTTCCCTTGCCGTGCAAGGGGGGTATTTAAGTCCATTGTCACTCACTTAAACCCTATTTTCCTCTCCTAACCTAATCCTAGCCGCACCTTGCAGCCATCCCTTTTAATTTCTGATTTTATTTCCTAATTCTAGAAGCTTTTAACTTAATTCTAATTCACCAAAATAAATTAGGGTTTGTTTTTCTTAAACCCTAAGTTTTCCACCACCTAGCCGCACCTTAGGGATTTCTCATTATTACTTTTCATATTTTTCAGCCACCAAATCCATCTTGCAGCCGCACCCTAGGTTTAAACATATATTTCATTCACAAAACCAAAAAAGCCGCAACTTTTTCCTAACTTTGGGAGGATTCACATTTTATTCACCCTAATTGAATTAGCATAAGCCAATCTCCCTTTTTTTTTCCACCATAAGCCGTGGCCCCCATTGATTATTGACCCTAATAAACCTTTTCTCCACTTTCCAGCCGTGCAGCCCACCATTCCATTCCAGCAGCCTTCCTCCACCTTCCAGCCATTCACCATAATAAATCATTCATTCACTCTCTCCCATTTATCCTGCCGCAGCCACCTGCACCCAATTTTCTTCTCTGCCGCCAACCACCATCCATTCCAGCATCCCATCACCCAAAAACCAAGCAGCCACTAGCACCTAAAAACCAAAAATCACAACCTTTTACCGCAGCCACCATAATTCCCATTATTGCCGTGCCTTTTTCCACACCTTCCCCACCATTGCCGCACCACTAAACCTCCATAAACCCAATCCCAAAACCAGAAAAACATCCAAAAAACTCACCTAGACTTTCACTGCCGCAGCAAGGAGAAGAAGAAGGAGGGCTTAGACGCGCAGAAATTCAAGTGGATTCGTTGGGCGTTCTAGGTGTAATCCATCCTTTGTTCTTTATGTTTAAATTCAATTTTATTTTTCTTGTTGTGAACATGAGAGGCTAAAACCCTATTTAGCTAGGGGGTGATTCGAAACCATGTTTATGCTTGCAATATGATTTGATTACTTTTGGTTGGAATTTCGTGAATGGTGAATTCAATTTGTTTAATTGTTTGATCGATAACTTATTTATGTTTGTTTATTGAGAGTGCACGCTTAATTTTCATGCATGAATATGACGCTAGAATATAAGTAAGTTTCACCTAATAGTTATGAACTTATATTCACAAGTAGTGGAGGTTGCTTATAAACAATCGCGTTAAATAAATTCTTGGCATAAGTTTCATGCAATCATAGTAACGAATGCCTCGTCAACACTTATAGTTTTCATGATGCTTAATGATTCTTGCTTGTATCTCTATTATGCAATTCATGTAGGGAACTTGTGGGGAATGCTTTGGGTTGTCGCATGCAATCATCCAATTCATTAACTTAAGGAAAACTTGACGGTTAATTTAAGCGGACCTAATTAACCCGGGGTGTTGAGTTTCATAATTCATCGAAAGACCAACTGAAAATCATCTTGTATGCAAGTGTAACATGTGTGGAGAAGAACCTTCTAGCTAGCATTCATCCCTATTTTCATCACATTCATATTTACATTCTGCCTTTAAATTACAATCTGTGTATTTAGTTTAATCTCGTCCAAAACCAATCCCCCTTTACCTTAGTGTCTAATTTAGTTAGAAAGTGTCTTAGTTTGTGTTTATAAGTGTTTTGTATTCTTTGAGTCTTTTGATTTGTTTTAGTATTTTATTGTTTAGTTTTACATTCTTTGAGTCTAGTTTAGTGTTTTTAACGTTTGTTTTACGTTTTTGAGTCAGTTTCCAAGTGATTTAGTAATCCCTCCTAATCCCCGGTCTAGAACGATCCCTACTTGCATCTTTACTACAATTGTCACAAGAGGGTTTTAATTTGTGTGCTTATTTAGTTCGCATCAAATTTTTGCAAGCATAAACATGGTTTCGAAACCATATTCATGCGACTTAATTAGCTTGTTCTCGTGCATTTATGTTGTGTTTACTTAGGTATTTTAGTGTTTAAGGCCACTTTTGTGTAGTTTCAGATTATAAGGCCAAAGTGTGCAAGAAGATGCAAATTGGAGCTTTTTGGAGCAAAAGAGGAATGAATTACACAATTGGAGCGTGTTTTTGCTAACATGGCTTATCAAAATGAATTTGACTAACCATTTATCTACTCTGCTGAAGATGCTCTAAAGATATACAAATATCAGCATGTCAAAACCCAAAACCATTTAATTTCAATTGCATATTTGTTTAATGTTAATCTTTAATCAAGGAGATGGATTATCCAACTTCAACTTATTGACCAGATTTCCATCTACTCTAACTCTTTATATATTGAAATCTCCCTTGAACAAGATTGTTTAACAGAACTATATTGGTGTTCCATTGGTCGACAGAAGTAGTAGGTATAACATTCCAATATTAAACTAAATTGGTGTCCTTTATCCTATTTTCTAATCCACTCATCAATATGATACCAATTAGATTAAATTTTAAATATAACTTAAAAATTGTATTGCTTAATCTCAAAACTAACTTTTTTGGAACCAAACTTAAGAAGCTAGATGTGAAGGTGAATATTCTTAAGCTACAAGCGAGTTAAGTTCAACCATTAAATAAGTAAAGGAATGCAAGCAATTACCTTCTCATTTCAACCATTTGATCATGCAATCTTATACGATGATGATCAGAACTATTTGTTAATTTAAAGACCATTTTGCAAAAAAATTAACTAAATTCGAAATCGTTCATGCATCTAATGAGACATTTTTTTTTTTCAATTAAACACTAAAATTCCGACAATATTAATCGAACGGTTAAATAATTTTTTATTTAGGGTTTAGTTTTAGTGGAGTTGATCTATAAGAGTAATGTTGAAAATAGACGGTTTCAGTCATAAGAAAACATTACTAAATCATAAAAGGAAGAAAGTAGAAAAAGAAGATCAGAATAAAAAGGTTGCAACGATAATTTAAAGAACAAAACTTAAGATGAGAAGATAAAAAAATGCTATTATGCTAGCCATGTAAATTGAAATTATAAAGAGAAAATTCAATCTGTGATAAAAAAAACGTAAAACACACAACTCTACTAAATTTGACTACAATACCAAAACGTATTTAAAAAAAAAAAACAACACACAATACACAAGATAACCCCAATTATTTTTACATTTTCCTCACACAAAAAAAATTTGATTCTTGTTAAAAACGAATTAAACCACATTATTAAAAGGTTCAATTCTCGTGAGAGAGTATGAAGCATAGCACATTTTCTCATTCTTTTTTAGTAAATAATATCGTTTATTTTAAAATATAAAAAGATACACAAGAAAACCCCTGTAATTTTACTTTTGCCCCAGATGGTGGGCTTCTACAATGAGAGGGTTGCCATGACTGGTCAAACAAACAGCCCACACAGCTTATAGACCAAGATTATAGTCAATCTTTGACAGAAGTCAAACACTAAACTTCTAGAAAAAAAGTACCTTAATTAAACCTACTCATGTCCACCACCACAACAACCCAATCCCTCAAACAACCATCAACCCAAAATTCCTGAAACTGATAGCTCTGCTGCCCCCGCCACCGCAGTCTCCTCGTTGGGTATGGGCGGTAATGGCAAGCGCAGGTGGAAGATCACCTTCTACCGCTCCAATTCCAGCTCCAAGAATCCCCCAAAGGAGCTCTTGTGCCCCATTTCCGGGTCCTTAATGTCCGACCCTGTCGTCGTCTCTTCGGGTCAGACCTTCGAGCGCCTCTCCGTCCAACTCTGCCGGGAATTGAGCTTCTCCCCCAAGCTCGAAGACGGGACCCGACCCGATTTCTCCACCATGATTCCCAATTTAGCCATCAAGTCCACCATCCAGAACTGGTGCGACCACAACAACGCCCAGTACCCGCAGGCACCCGATTCAATCTCCCTCGATAAGGCCATACGGGCGGTGATGGAGGAGGATAGGGAAGACCCTGGAATTAGAGTTTCGGAGCGGGAGCTGCTGAGGGGGATGGCAGAGAAACCGCCGGTTAGCTTCATGCACGCGGCGACCGAGTTGGGCCGCCGAGTCGACCATTTCTACTCGAGCTCGTCGGAGGAGTCAGTGGTTATCCCGTCGGCGAGTCCACCCATTCCTCTCCCGTTCGCGACTCGGCCGTCGTGTTGTTCCTCGTCGTCTTCTTCCGAAGTAACCGCCGAGCTCGAAACACTAAACCCTAATTCCTCGTCGCCGGAATGCAAGGAGGAGGAGCAATTGATGACGAAGCTGAGAAGCTCCCAGGTAATCGACCAGGAGGAAGGAGTAATTTTACTCCGGAAGCTCACGAGGACGAAGGAGGAGCTTAGGATTTCGCTCTGCACTCCCCGGCTGCTCTCCGCCGTCCTATCACTGATTGTGTCGCGATACAGCACCGTGCAACAAAACGCCGTCGCTTCGCTGGTTAACTTGTCTCTGGAGAAGCCCAACAAGGTGAAGATCGTACGGTCAGGATTTGTCCCGCATTTGGTGGATGTATTGAAGGGAGGATCCAGTGAGTCGCAGGAGCACGCCGCCGGCGCGCTCTTCAGCTTGGCGTTGGAGGAAGACAACAAGATGGCGATCGGCGTGCTCGGCGCATTGCCTCCGCTGATGCACGCGCTCGTGAGGGCTGAGAGTGAGCGGACGCGCCACGACTCGGCGTTGGCGCTCTATCACTTGACGCTGGTGGAGAGCAACCGAGTCAAACTCGTTAAGCAACACAATGCGGTGCCGACTCTGTTGGCCTTGGCCAAGTCTCCGGCGTCGGCGGGCCGAGCTCTACTGATTCTGTGCAATCTAGCGAGCTGCAGCGAGGGCAAATCCGCCATGCTCACCGCCAACGCGGTGCAGTGCTTGGTGGGGGTGCTGAGGAGGCGGGGAGACTTGGACTCCGAGTCCACTCGGGAGAACTGCGTGGCGGCGCTCTACGCGCTGAGTCACGGATCGATGAGATTTCGCGGGCTGGCGAGGGAGGCCAATGCGGTGGAGGTGTTGAGTGAGATCGAGAAGAGTGGAAGCGAGCGGGCGAGGGAGAAGGCGAAGCGGCTGTTGACGGTGATGAGAGGGAGGGAGGATGAGCCGAATTTGGACTCGGTGTTGGACTCGGGTGCAGGAGCTGGACTCGGTCCGACTCGGTACCGAGTTGGGAGGAACTTGCATGCAGCCAACTCATCTACGTTTTAATTTAATTTTCTTTTCTTTTCTTTTTTTCATTATTACAGAAAATGGGTTTTTTTTGTATACTTCAGAGTGGGTGTAAATTATTATTTCAGGAAAATGTAATGGCTGCTGAGTTGACAAGGTCGAGTCATGACTCGGTACTGAGTTTGGACGTGTGGTGGCATACGGCGTCAGCGGCGGTGGCGGGTGTAATTATTGGCGGGGGATGGTCCTGTCTCCTTTATTTTTGTGTTGTCTTTTTGCTTTTTTGTTCAGGATAATTATATTTTAGTGTTAATTGGTGCCTGTAAGTAAGATTTTATTAAGGATTTTGGAATGTTAGATTGGCTTCAAAAAAGATTGATTGATAAGAACAATTTAGAATTTTGTCTTTTTGTGGCTTGTGGCCAATTTTTTACAAGAAATTATAGTGTGTATTTCATTTATCTTTCCAAATAAATAGAGAGGTGTCAATCAATAATGTTATTCTTACCATAATTTTATACCATATGTATTTATCATACTAGGTGGTAAACGAGCTGGACAACCACATCATCTAAATTAATTAGCATTTAATCCAAATGTTAATCAATAATTAATAAAAAGATTGTTAATTAAATGAGGATTGTGTCATACAAGGAGTCTCATTCTTTCCCCTAAGATTATTTAAGTATTTTAATTAATAAAAAGATTGAAATTAAATAATGTAGCTTGTCCAACTCATCTGTCATCTAAGATGGTAAATAAATGTGATATAAATTTGTAGTAAGAATAGTATTACTCGGTGCCGATAGGGTATATTGCTCTAGTGTCTATGAAATTAATTTGGAGTGAATTTACATAAATACACAATTACTGTAAACCACTATACGTCTATCACACGCACGAAACTATAAATGTCGCCCATAGAAATCGGTCACGAAGAATGACAAACGCAATAAAATATGAGTCAACGATGACCACAACAGTCATCATTGAATAGCGAAGCCGTGTAAAGTTATTGCAAGAGCGAGATCACGCGAAGTGATTGTTAAATAAGACGAAACATCAATCACAATGCCAAAGTGCGACCATAACACTTGCTGGGTGAGACGACAAAACTACACCATCCAAGAAGGGAAACACTGGTCGGCTCATTCTAGTGGGGGACACTCTGACCAAATCAATCTGCACTATCGCCATTCGCCACTCTATTTGGATCCGGAGCATTCGCGGCTAAGGGAGATAGTGAAGTCGCCGTAACTGAAAGGCAACTAGAGGGAGCTGCCACCGGCTCCAAGCCATAGCAAGAACTGCCGCCTAGTTGATTGCAATTTCTTGGCGAGGGTGGCATTCCATTTTCTTGGTTGAGGATTGTAGTCGTGCATTGCAAAAGAAAAGGTAAACATTTTGGGAACGTTTTCTCAAATGTGCCAAAAAGAAGAGATTATTAGATTGTAGTTTAGTTTCTTTGGATTCTATGGTTGCAAATGTGCCGAAAACATATTCTTCTTCTTGTTAACACCAAAAATATATATATTTATTATTGTCAACTTGATATTGTGGGCGAACGTTGCATATATAGGTGGAAATTCACCTCACGACTTAATAAATTTTATTGTGCTAGTCTTCTAGCAGCCTAGAAGAACTGCATAAATTGGTGCAATTTTGCTTTGTAACTAATTAACCTTTTATGATGGATGAAAGAAATGAAAATTAGGGAGAAAAAAAAAATTTATTGTGCGAGAAACATTGTATACATGGTGAACATTTCACTTCGTAACTGATTAACTTTTTAACATAGAGGAAAGAAATAAAAAATAGAATTAGTAATTGGCAAAAAGATTGTATGTCATGATACAACTCAATGGAGGCATTCATGTTGCTTTTTAACTTATAAAAAATATGCATGTTCATATTTATTTTTTCTTCAATAACCTGGGACTACTTAGTAGTTCATAAAATAAACAATGAAGATTGATTTTAAAAAAATGGAACGGTGAAAATTGTTTTATACATCAGACTACTTAATAGGCTGGATTACCGAGAACAAACGAAATTAGGTTTATGGATTCGATAGTTTTGCTCTTGTCCTTTGGCATCTTGTCTTGCGTGGTGGTTGGTGTTGGAAACGTGGTGATGATGGGGTGTGTGTTGATGCCTAATTCTCGTCTTTTGAGTTTTAATGTTTTTTATTTATTATTAATTATTCATCGCATGCCTAGTAGATTGCTTAACAATGAAATTTGTTTAATTAGAGCATCTCTAAAAAAGATGTCAAAATATCCAAATCAGTAATAATAGTAAAAAAAAGACAGTTGCAATGTTTTCCAACCAAGAAGCTAAATCTGATGTGGCATGACATGGAATAGCAGCCATCCCCTTGCTGTCAAATTTGACAGCAGCGTCAAATATTTTTTTATTAATTTTTTTTATTAGATCAGCAACTCTCATCTATTACTTGGCGCCGCTCATCCTTCTTCTTCTCTTTTCTCAGAACCAAACCCATAAACTAACCTCACGATCTCAACCTAAAACCTAAATGTAAGACTCCATTTCGCATCGTTGCTCAAATAAGAGCTCCAGTGGCTCTTACCCTTAGTTGCGACGACGAGTACTCTGTCGGCGGTCTCGCGAACGGCTCGGCAGCATCGCGGAGTAGAAGTGGAAGGGGAGGAGTCAGGTGTGGGGGTTAATGAAGACTTGGTTGAGGGTGTGGACGAGCTTTGAGGAGTAGAGGTGCTGTTGTGCCTTGGACTTCCACTTGGTGTGGCTATTAGCGGGTTCTTATTTAAAGGGGATTTCGGTTTTCTGTTAATCCAACAGAGGAATGTGAGTGAGAGAGAAGAGAATGGAACGAAGGAGGTTAGGGGTGGAGAGTGAAGGGATGTGGAGAGAGAGAGAGAGGAGAATGGAACAAAAGTGGTTGGGGTGGGGATTGAGGGGGAAGGGATGGAGAGAGAGAGAGAAATGACTATTAAGAAGATGAGGAATGGTGGGAAGAGGCTTAGGCCATCTCCAACCAAAAGGTCTAGAAGGCTAGTGGGCTGAAAATAGTCCAAAAATCGTTTCCAACCGAGGGCTAGGTCAGAGGGCTCGTGGGCCTAACGGAATCTGAAAGGGCCAAAGGGTTGGCTCTTTTCAGCCAGCCCCCGGCTGGCTCATAGTGTCAATTATAACCGATACAAATAGTTAGGAAAATTTTGAATACAACTGCTAGCTGACGTCAGCTAGCCGTTATTATTAAATTTTATTTTTTTTTATTTTTTTTTACAGTTTTATCTAATTTTTTTTATTTACAAAATTTTTTGCCTATAACTTCTATTTTTTTTTCCTATAACTATCCCATCCCGCCCCAGGGTCCATCACATCCTGGGCTCGCTCCACCACCGTAGCACGATATTGTCTGCTTTGGGCCCCGACCATGCCCTCACGGTTTTGTTTTTGGGAACTCACACGAGAACTTCCCAGTGGGTCACCCATCATGGGATTGCTCTCACATGCTACTTGCTTAACTTCGGAGTTCCGATGGAACCCAAAGCCAGTGAGCTCCCAAAATGCCTCGTGCTAGGTAGAGGTGGGAATATACCTATATGGCTTACAGGATCCACTCCCCTGGTGATGTGGGATGCTACAATCCACCCCCTTAGGGGCTCGATGTCTTCGTCGGCACACTTCCAGCCAGGGGTTGGCTCTGATACCAAATTGTCACATCCCGACCCGGGGTCCACCACATCCTGGGCCCGCTCCACCACTATAGCACGATATTGTCTGCTTTGGGCCCCGACCACGCCCTCACGGTTTTGTTTCTAGGAACTCACACGAGAACTTCCCAGTGGGTCACCCATCATGGGATTGCTCTCGCGCGCTACGCTCTTAACTTCGGACTTCCGATGGAACCCGAAGCCAGTGAGCTCCCAAAAGACCTCGTGCTAGGTAGTGATGAGAATATACATATAAGGCTTACATGATCTACTCCCCTGGGCGATGTGGGATGCTACAACTTCTATTTTACAAAATTTGTTTCATGTTTTTTTTTTTAAATTTCATTTTTTTTTTCCTATAACTTCTATTTTACAAAATTTGTTTCATATTTTTTTTAAAATTGTATTTTTTTTCCTATAACTTCCTAAGCCATTATACAACATTAAATTAAATTCAGTAACATGAAACAACATTAAACAATATGAAACGACATTAAATAACATTAACCAACATAAAAATTATACAACATAAATTGAAGTTGTAGTTTTTTAAATTTAGGTTGTTGTAGTTTTTAAATTTAAGTTGTTGTAGTTTAGTTTTTTAAATTTAGGTTGTTGTAGTTTTTAAATTTAAGTTGTTGTAGTTTTTAAATTTAAATAATAAATTATGTTTGGCCCTATGGCCCTTTGGATCTCGGTTGGAGATGGTTTTTTGTGACAGGACTAAAACGAGCCCTATGGCCCTTTGGCCCTCAGTTGGAGATGGAGGCAAATATGGCATTGTACCGTTCATTAAAATATTAATATATTGGAGGGCTAGAGGGCTAAAACGAGCCCTCTGACTAGCACTCTATTGGGGATGACCTTATAAAGATGATAGGAGAACGAAGATGAGAAGCAGGTATACAAAGATTCAAAAAATAGAGAACGAAGATAATAGGAGAAGTCTAGAAAGAGGGGGCATAAAATAATAGTTTAATAAAATAAAAATAAAAGAAAATAGTATAATAAAATAAGATTTAATTTGACATACCGGGTGGAGAGCAAATTTTTGAAAGATGTCAAAATACCACATAGACTGTCAAATTCAAATTTTATGTTTAAAATTTGACATCTTATTTGAAGGTACTTTTAGTAATTTATAAACCCTAATCTATGATTGCAAGAAATGAAGAAAAAGAGCTTTCGCGTTTGGACTAAACTGGCCCTCTCTATTGCTTGTCAAAGAATTGCTTTTTGTCTTATCAAATTCGTTTGTTGTCAACTGTTTTTTTTTTTGTTTTTTGTTTTCCAAACAAATAGTAAAATTGCCACGGTATTAAGAGCTTTCGCGTTTGGACTAAACTGGCCCTCTCTATTGCTTGTCAAAGAATTGCTTTTTGTCTTATCAAATTCGTTTGTTGTCAACTGTTTTTTTTTTTTTTTTTTGTTTTCCAAACAAATAGTAAAATTGCCACGGTATTTCCCCTCTCCCTTCCGAAGGAGGACTGCTCCTTCCAATTCACATCCACTCTCCATTTTGCCTTCTTGTCTTTCAGTTTGATTTTCAAGTTTATGCAACCTTTTAAAGTTGGTTAATTTACTTTATTGTCAAATTTATATCATGTTCGGTTAGTGTTCTTCACTTAAATTAACGAACATCACCTTTATTTGAACAGA